AAGATGGGAAGGACTATCTAGAATGACAGTCTGATGGGAAAACACTGCAGCTGGCTGGACTTCAGCAGAGGGATGGAGACTGAGCCCTTCCCCATTGGAACCCTTGCTATGGCTATGTGAACTCTGGATTTTCCATTCTGAGGATACATGGTGCCTCTGCTCCCAGTCCCAGTGTGGGAGCCATCCCACAGAGAAATGCATGTGGGAGACCCCAGCATGCCAAAACACACAGCCATATTTAGTGTATGAGAATCCCAATGGATAAGTGTCATCTTGCAGCCACTTTTCCTTCTTCCTCCTCAAAGAAGATAAACTTGGAGTTTTCTTAGCCTATTTTTCCCCCGTTCTCCTTCCCTAAATGTCCAGAGTCCCTTTGCAGTCTGTGCTGGCCCTCTCCAGTCCAGCTCCCCCCAGAATGGAGCAGCAGTGTCCAGACTGCTACAGGGAAGTCTGATTTGCTCTGTGTTACACTTCCCTTTCCAACCTGGCAGCATTGGTTGGGCAAAAATTACCTTCCCAGGTGCTTACCTCCTTCCCACTGCAGGCCCACAGTCACTTCACTGTACAGTTTCAGATTTTCTAAATCAAGTCATTTGTAATTAAAAAATAAAATATTTACAGCAAACACAGATGGTTACTGCCATGTGTTAGTGTTAAACTGAGCTGAATCACCCCCAGAGCATCAGATGAAGGTAGATTTCAGGGAGTCTGATAATGACTCACAAGTGTCATCATTTTTACTTTTTTTTTTGGAGCAGAACCCCACTTTCATTATCTTCTTTCTGACATTTTAAGGGTAGCAAATTAAAAAGCAAGCATAAAGAAAGCCTTATAGAGATGTATACAGATGCATAATCTGTAAGGACTATGTGAAATGTAAGACTGCACGTGAAATGAATCAGTGCCTTTGGAGGTGTGAGGCTCAGTTTAAGTTGCATAAAACCAAAAAAAGAATATTATGAAACTGCTCATTTATTTAATTTCTTTCAAAGATGACAGGCTGTGTATTTAACTGGGAGAAGCCATGGCTGCTTTCTGCAGTTTGACTGCTTTAGGGTCTGCCCCAGCAACCAGGGAAGTCAACTCTGCAGACCAGGACCCTCCATCAAGAATCTTTCAGGAGGGGGACCAAACTGACAGAGGGAAACAAACACATCTTACACAACTACAGTACTTGCCAGAATCCATCCAGCAAAGCCCTTAGTGTGTTTCTAAAAGATCAGCCTACAAGGAGTTTCACTTTCACGTTGATGCTCTTGACTCTTGAAGTACCACATACTTTCAAATTAATTATTCATTTTTCATCACAAAGTAAGCTTTTAGCTGCTTTTTAGTCCCGTTAGCCAACAATGCCTCAGAGGAGCAGGATTGTGTTCCTTCATGTGGGAGATTTTATTTGCGTTGTTTCCTAAATCTCAGCTTGATGACTAATCAGTTGCAACTGAGCAAACCCAGTGAAAATAAAAGAGCCTTCAGAGGTGTCACTGAGAGTTTAATTAAGCTTCCAGATCCTTTATTACCAATAACCTTGTTGCCTAACTAAAGGAAAGACCCAGACAGAGTCTGACTCTCCATCTGGTTTGCAAAATGGGAAATCACACAAAAGTTTTCTTTGGAAATATAGCACATTTAAGAGATGTTAACTCACATATAAATGTAGAATTCCCAACCCCATTATTACAGAACCACTTTTTCAGAAGAGACTCATATAGGAAAGTCAACATTGCAAAATAAATTGTTTCACAGAACTTATAAAAGAAAATTAGTTTCTCAGGGAAAATTGTAAGCCAGTGCTAATTAGACTCAAAAGCATGATGACAAGCAGAAAGATCGGGATTTTCACACCACCAGACATTTCTCAGCATTTCCATTAACTACATTATTTGGGGTGACAAGAAAACTAAAACCTAGAGAATGAGTGAAAGCTAACAATATGGATGGAGTGGGAGATGGTGGTTTTAGAATGTCTACTGAGAGCTTCTTTTAAGACTATATGGCATAATTGTTTTGCATTCTTACAGTAATTAGACTGAGTAAACACTGTTAGAGCAGAGGGAAGATGCTAAACATGCCTTCCATTTGCAATGAAAGCAAACTACTGCTAGGTAAGATGGACAATTTGAAAGCATTACCAAAACTCCAAATTCACATTAGAATCACGCAAGGTACTAGCTCCCCTCCTTTTTTCGTTTTTTTCCAGAATCTAGGGAAGACTACAAAAGGACAGACCTCATACCCTGAAATTGAGAAAAACATGGAAAACAGTATACTGTTAAGAAGAGAAATGTCACATTCATCTCTTCAACTACGATATTTTCAGCTCTGATCCAAGTTGCACTGAAGCTAATTAAAAGACTCACATTAGCTTCAGTGAGATCTGGATCAGATCTAACTGAGGCTCCTAAAGTCCCCATAATGTTCTAATGCTAATTATATTTACAACAAAATCTATATAACGCTAATTTCAAATGTTGCTAAATGTCAAGGAATCATCAAATTAAAGGAAATGAGAAGAAGCAGTGACAGAAACCAAATCAATTCACCCTAGAGCTGTTGGAAAAGAAGGAAGGATCATGAACTTCCCTTATTTCTACAAAACTATAGATGTTTCTGCAGAAAACAAACTAAGCAAAGTAATCTTAGAAATGGGGAAATGAATCCCACACAACTTCCCTTAGTCACCACATGCTGAAAATCCTGCTGATGCCAAAATTGTGATGCTCTGCAGAACATAACTAGAAAAAGCAGCAGTGCAGACAGATACAAAGAATGTAAGTGACACTACCAGATAAAGATACATTCAAAAGTCAGGTTAGCATGTCCAAGGTAATTAACTTGAGTATAAAAAAGTCTATAAAGACAAGGTAACTTTAGCACAGCTCAAATTCAGAGGCTTGAACAGATGCCAATAACTTGAATTAAAGCAAGTTATCTTATCATTGCCGACAGTTTAAGTCCAATTAACTAATTCAGGTTAAGGAACCACAGATGGAGATTTCCCAGAAGCTAACTCTCAGCTGACATGTCCTAACCTCCTACAAAAATTTTCATGGAAAAAAGTCATGCCATTTCAGGAGATCCACACCCACTGCACTATGAGAAAGAGACTAACTCAGTAGGATCAGTTTTATTTGGAGAGCCGCAGGGTGGCTTCCTGAGGTACAAAATGCAGCCACCTCTTGAGAAGGGCATGACAGGATTGCTATAATAACTACACTTCTACTACATAAAGTAGCTGCAATATGTTTTGTAAGCTTCATTTCACTTGCTGACTGTTTTGGGAGTCTGGGTGTCAAAACTGCATTCAAACCACATAAAAAACCACAAGAAGCATCAAGAGAAAAAAAGGGGGCTAAAGAAAAAGGAAACAAGGAGGTGAGAACACAAACTTGCATGCAAACCTGCATATATGCACATTTTTATTTCTCTATAAAGTTAGTAGCAAAAGCATACATAATGAACCATACCAGATTTGGTGATAAATTTTTAGTTTATACCCTCACACAACATGGGTTTCAATCTAAATGCTCAAAGGAAAAAGCTTTAGAAACTTGTTACAGTGTTGCGAGTGGTTGGTTTGTTTTATTGATTTTGTTAGGTTTTTTGTTTGGGGGGTTTTTTTGTTTGGGGTTTTTTTTGGTTTGTTTTTTTTTTTTTGGTGGGTTTTTTTTGTTGCTTGTGTGTTTGGTTTTGGGTGGGTTTTTTTGTTTGTTTGTTTGTTTTAAAGGAAGCCTTTTAGTACACAGTTAAGCAAAAGCTTCAGTTTATGGAGTTGTTCCCAAACACAGCATGTCTCAACCTGAAAACTGTTCCATCAGCTCAAACCAGTGGCCCGTCCAGTCCTGCTGACTTTGTGTACTAAATGTACCCTGAGGAAGGCAGAAGTGCACAGTGAAAAGTTATGGAATAGTCTTCCTATAAATATCTGTTCAGCTATTAAATAGGAGCAAACATAACTGATATAACTACAGAAGTCAGGGGACACAAGGGCACCGCCAGCATTCTTCCCTAGAGAGGTTTGGCTACCACATGTCACAGCATCCCCATCTGACAGAGCAGCCCTCCCCAGCCTTTGAGCCCCTGCCCATAACCCGTGTACCTCCAGCTGCAGTGATTTCCCAGTTGAGGGGAAATTCACCAGACTAAAGTGTATTTTAACACAAGAGTCGTGCAACGGCTTAAAATCCTTACACTGAATGCTACATACTTTTCTGGCACAGCATCGGTGTGCTCTGAGCAGCCCAAAAGCATTCGTTCCAAGTGAACTACACCCATGCTGCCTATTAAGAGTGCAAGTTACTTCTAATCTTCAATTTTTGTGGCAGTACAGACGACACCGTGCATGTCTTTTGGAACGGCAAACACTTGACTTCACACTCAGACTTCAAAGCTTACTCCGGTACCTCGCACGGCTGCTGAGGTGGTCTCTCAGCCTCGGAAAGGGGGCACAGATGGCCTGACCCCCACCCAGCAGCAGGGACAGGCTCTCTGTGCAGTCGTAGCCCCTTGTTCTGCTTCCCAAAGTAATCCGCTTCCCAACAAATCCACTTCACTAGTCTCCGCGAAGATATAAAACAGGGGGGTGAGGGGACTTCTCTTTAATACAAAATACAGATAAATTAAAGGAACACGGTGAAACACCCACCCCCAACTTTGTGTCTTCGGGGAATCTCTCTTCTCTCCCAAAGCCCTCGCCTCAATCCTACGGACAGAAGGAACCGCACCTTCCTCCGTCAGTCTCAAGCCCCAGCTTCAAGCCCAAAGGCCACCGAAAGCCTCCCCCCCTCACCGCAACCCCACGGACACGCAAGGACCAGAAAACGAACTTTCGCCGCCGGAGCCGTCTCACGCCGCCTTCAGCCGGGGCGCGGCGCCCCCAGCTCGCCCCCTCCTCCCAAAACGAGCCCCCCCCCAGCTGGAGACCTGTCGGGCAAGGGGGTCCGGCACCGCGGCGCGGGGGCTGCCCCCCGGGAAGGGGGCCGAGGGAAGGGGGCACTCACCCGCGCAGTGGCAGCAGGAGCTCGCCGCGGGGTGGAGCGGGGGCGGCGCGGCGGCCGGCATGGTGGGGGGGCTCGGTTCGGCTCGGCTCAGCTTGACTCCGCTCGGCTGGGGCCAGGGGCTGCCCGTACCGCACCGCACCGCACCGCACCGCACCGCACCGCACGCAGGCACGGCCCCTCCGCGCCGCCTCCCGGCTGCGAGGGCAGTGGGAGGGAAGGGAGCTGGCGGAGAGGCGGTGCCGCGCACCGGCCGCACCGGCGGTCACAGCCCCGCACCCCTCCCCGCCCGCCCCGGGGGCAGCATCGCTGGCCGGCACCGCCCCACCACCGCCACCGCAGCCACAGCCTCGGGCCGCCGCCCGCCCCCGCCGCCGCGCTCCTCCCGCTGCTTCTGTCAGCGCCCAGCCCGGCCCCAGCCGGACAGGCGTCCCCGTTTGCCCCCTTACGGTCGCCCACCCGCCCGCCACGAGGGTTTGTTGTGCGGCTGCCAGCCCGCCCAGGAGGGAAGACGCCTCGGGTTGTCGCCCCTTGCGTGCCAAGTGGGACTAGGTAAATCATTCGATTTGGCTTGGATTGGAAAAGACAAGCGCTTGAGCGCTGCGAATAGAGAGCGCGCTGGACGCACCTTCGTAAAGTATGGGAAGGGAGTTTATTTCATCCAGGCTGCCCCAAAGGATGCTGGCTGGCTACAAGGCGGGTACTTCCGAGAAACATGAGAATGAAGTGACGAGCCTCAAAGCTGATTTACGGGTCGTATAAATAGATGCCTGACCACTTACCGTACTACAAAAGGAGATGCAACTTGATGAGAGCACATACATACCTTCATAAGGGAAAATACTATGAACTAAGAGGCCTTTTAATCTCGTAGTGGAAAAGAATAACAGAGTCAGTGTCTGGAAGCCGAAGTTGGACAAATTCAAATCAGAAATGTTATCGATGGGAGAGAGTAATCATTGGCACAAATTGGGAAGGAAGCAGTATTTTATTCTCTGCATATCTCCTACTAAAACAAGATGTCTCTGAGGAAAATACACGGTATTCCAATAATTTTATCACAGGTAGAATTTAGTGTGCAGGGATGTCCAGTAGGTCAGGCTTAGTGTTCCATCATTCTGGCCTTAAACTGTATGAACAGGACAAAGCAGAACATGCTAAACATATATCTCATATTCTCATTTCTGTCATTTACTGAAGGTTTTGTCCAGCTGCTTTGTTTAATGGCTTGTCTTCTGTGATTTTACTTCTGGAGTATTTCACCATTTTTGAGGCAACGCAGTCTGACACAAATACCTTTGTAAAAATAGATCTGATCAATATTTATACTGAAATGCAGATCACTGTGCTCTTTAAGAGCTGAGTATAAAGACATAGGCATAAAGCTCAGATATCTTTTCTCCCTCTTTTACGTAGAGCATTTATATTTTGCTAGACTATATGGTGAATGGAACCATGTAAAATAAAAGCATAGACAAAAACTATCTTGTAAACTAGTCAAAACTCAGGTTGTCAAAACCTGCAACACATTATAATACCAAATTTCTATCTGAAAATGTATCATTTCACTTTCATTTGAAATCTTCATATTTGTTTAAAATCTCAAAAGCTCTCAAATTCCATATTTATTTTCTCATGTTTACCTTACTTCTTTGTCTAGAGCTTGTTAATCCTGCAGTCATCATTATCTGTCTTTCTTGTGTATCAAAGTTATTTTCAAATAATAGATCTTCAAGATTAGAACTGCCTGGAGGGGCATCACTGAAGTGTTGTCTTTCAGTCATTTTTGCATGTGGAGTTGATACAGTATAACAGGCTACCTCTTCTAACACACTCAATGCCCATGTGACATCTTGGTTTCATTAAAGGGCATGGGAGGTCTTCTGCTATTCCCCATCTTTCATGTGCTTCTTTAAACAATTAGCTACAGCTAATTTCTGCAGTTGTTGGCATCTCAGTGACTTAACCCTGTCTTTAAGAAATCAGAGACTCTGTTCAGTTCCTGTCTCTAGAACTCCTCCATCAGTTTATTCCACATTTGTGTCTGACCTTTTCCATCTGTAAAATGTCAATAATGACACCAGTTAAAGGGATTTGCTGCCTATAGATGCAAAATCCTTAGAAGAGCTAAGTATTGCTCCTAATTACTTGGTATTAGTCCCTGCAGCTGGTTTCCAAAATAAGAATGTAACATGACCCAAAAATCAACACTAAATCTGTAGTATTCACATTTCTTATCATAGAATGAAAAACAGGTGAGGAGTGAATGCAGGCTTCTGAAGACAACTCATTCCTACTTGCCTCTTGAAATTTGTCACCTCTCTCTTTGTCAGTCAGTGAAGTTGATTTTCCTTTAATCCACTTTTTAACTGGCCAGTGATCTTAATCACCCCATAAGCCTACTAAACCATCTACAACTTCCTTACCATTTCTTAAAAAGCATACACAATAACCATGATATTTGATTCTCAGCAATAACCTTTTAACCCAGGTGCTTAATTTCACAGACTGAAATTACAGGCCAATGACTAATTAGCAGAAAGTTGTCAAATACATGTCTCTATGTGTTGCACACCCAGCTCATACATAGTATTGACATACAGTGATGACTGACAATAGTTATGTTGGTGCAGCCTTGGAAATGGATGTTCAGTCTCGTTTAGTAAGGAATCCTGCTTTTTTGACCTCGTCCTAAAAGCAACAATTTCTTTCTGTCTTAGAAATCACTTTTCTCCCTTTTCGCCTCCCTTGAATTCTGCTGGCACCTGTTCTGTTTCAAGGGCTGTATTTAAAGGAGATACGTAAAACAAAATATTCTACTGATCCTCTTAAGGAATTATTCTCTCTAGACCGTCATGCTCAGAGATTGCATTTTATGTGTTTCTTGTCACATTCTTAAGAAACTATCGTTAAAGCAAAATCCACATATTTTCGTGGTGGACCTATTAAGTTGTACCCCAGATATGATCATCCCTTCTGCTATCACAACACACTGTTTTGAAAATGATAAATCAGCTGTACACATTTATCATATCAAGTGAGGAAGAAGTAGCAAGAGCTTTATTTGCCTCTGTTTTACATAAGTTAAAAGAAATTACAATTACTTTCCAACAAGGAAAAAAACAGCTAATTTAAACTTAATCGATTTATTCACAACGTCTGATGAGAGCTGTCTTCCTAATGTCCAGAAATCTAATCTAGGATATTGAAAAATCAGCATAAAAGTAGCATTTTCATAATGTGGTTTCAATAATAAAAACATTAGTTTGTAATTTGTATGTGAAAGTTGTTTGTACAGAGTGGTTTTCCAGCTTGCTAATAGTCCTTGAGGAGGCAAATAAGGCTTGAAGTCTCAGAGCCCAGTGCTGTAATGTAATTTGTCCTTAGTCTATAAAGAAAAGTGTGTGTATTATTTTCAGATGAATCTGAATATCCCATGTCACTGGGATATTCCAAACACCCAGAAGCAACTACGGTTGCTTTGGGCATATTAAACTTTGTCACAACATGTGGTGTTATAATGGCCAGTCTTCGCGAACGAAGAACCGGGGAAGGTCTTTACACCTTCCAGCCTGCGCATTGGATTTTTTAGGTGAGACACAGTGTGCACGGAACTGAGCCCACCCTTTAATCCTGAGGTTCATCTGCCGGGGCCAAGCGAACTTGGACGGTGGCAGCGAGGTCCTCAGGCCGTAGATGGATTGCCTTACAGGGCTAACGAGCTCCATCTGCCCGGGGAGTGTCCTAACTGGGAATCGAACCCGGGTCTCGGCATTGACAGCGCCGCGCCTGAAATACAGACATGCATGACAGGCACCCTGACACCAATGGTACTGGCAGAACTAACAGGGACGATTTCATGCTTGCAAAAAATATCTATACTGTAAATAAGACAGCAGTTAACATGGCTCCCTTAAAAAAAAAAAAAAAAAAGAAGACTGAGTTCTCTCTAAACCACGTGTCTATCTCATGTTCCATATCTTGAGTATATGAGATATATGGGGCAAAAGAAACAAATATTTCAGACCTCTTCAATAATAAATCAAAAGTCATCAGTAAAATATCAAAAAATTACAGGCGTTTCTCAAATCACAAAAAACAAATGCCAATCTATAAGTGGACAACACAGGTTGTATCCTCCACCTCAAAAAATAAACATAAAAAAAGAATCAAAGCATTTATATCCATGCTAGTCCCTAGATGTATGCTAAATGTAATGAAGAAAACAGTTCCCAATAGAAACCAAGTCCTAATACCAAAGTGGAACAAAGACATTGTACAATTTTGCCAGAACAGTGATATTTACAGGCATTGACACAACAAACTGCACTGAGCAAACTCACAAAATTAAAAACAAAAGATCAGGATCCAAAGTTTCCGCAGCCTGAGTCAGCAGGCCAACAGATACTCATAGCAAAAACCGGTCTTTGGCAACTTACTCCCTAATCAAGAAAATGATAATGAACATAATTCTCTACTTCTTTCCAGAATTAACTTTTTTTTAAAGGGCATATTTAGAAAAGGGCATTGTAGTTTCAACAAAGTAGGTTGTGTTATCTTCCTCTAACATACTGCCTTATTTCAGTTTCTGAGTCATGAATATACTTAATCAGTGTCAAATTCAGATAATTAGAAACTGCAATGGAAAAGGGCATTGATAATAAATGTGTTATAAACGCCAGTGTTTTGATGATGTGGGATAATTCTCAATGACTTGTTTTAGAAAGTGTTTATGTATTAAAGATACACTCATTGGTATCCAATGGGTAGATATTGTGATCGTCTGACACTCCCTGACACTCCAGGTTTCTACTTTACCTATGCTAAACAAATAATACAGGATTATGACTTTTGCCTTCTAGCAAGATTCACAGAATGGCATGTTTATCATTAAGAGACTTCTCAAAGGAGACATTTTATATTTTATTTATATCTATTACATGTTACACTTAATAATGTCTTTTATTCAAGTATTTTAAAGGTCATCAACATTGAGTGAAATCTCACACAATGATGTAAGGCATGTAG